TTTATAAAGACACCTTTTACCACTTCTCTGACCCCATAAAATGGAACTAAATGTCCACCTTGATATTGTGCACCATACTGGCTTGCTGTCTTAACATTTTTGTTTCAAATGGTTAAGAATGATTTGTGCGTAAGTGTAAGTTATTTCAACTGTATTGTTTCTAATTCCCTTTCACCTGAAAAACGTGGGTTCAAATGTCCCAGGGTATGAGGAGGTTGATGTGCAGAGGCACGGTGAAGCGATGAAAGCCGAGGCTTTTGGGCCCAGAAGGGTGTCCCATGCGGTACCTTAGTCCAACAGAGAGAACACACAGTGACCCATCAGAGTATTTACCATTGTTTATTTTTATTTTTCCCCATTTATTATTTACAACATTTTACTCCAGCATATTTTTCAGAAACGTACTTTTATGTTTCTTCATGTTTTACTTTCTTAAAGTCAGGGTCTTTCCCCTATAACAACGTACTTTTGATGAAGGCAAAGAGGGCACCCAGCCACACCATGAGGTACTTCTGCTGTCTGTTCCTTTGTAGGTCAGGCCAACCAGGCCACCTGGGTCTTGGTTTTCTGTCTCTTTTCTTGGTTTTTGCTGCATGGGTCCTATGCTACTCCTGAAGGCCTGTGTGTATGGCTTTACCGTAATTCATCTGCTTCCAGACTGCTACTCACTTGGCTGCCTTAAGAAGAATCCCCTGGCACTGTCTGATGACAGAACAATTCCAGCAGCTTCCACTTTGCTGCTAACCACTCACCCTGAGGATGCAGTCTGGCAAGAAGGTGGGTGCAAAGGCTCATACAAATGCAGTCCATAGAGGTGACCCTGACCAATTAGGACATTTCATAAGTTAAATACATTAAGGAGATAATTTAACACCCTCCCTCCCCCACCCTTGAAAACCTAACCCTGATAATATAGATTTCACATTGAACACAGGACGTTGTACAACAAACATGAACACGTTGCCCTTTCAGTAGGACAAGTCGCGATTTCCTCTGATGGTTGGCCGTGGAGGAGCCAGAAAGTTACTGTGCACCACCACAGCAGGGTGTCATGCAGGTAGAGAGCTTAGCGAATGCATTCAGTAGTTAATAGCTCAAAGGGTTAGCTGTTATATATACAGAATAAGGAAACCTCATTAGGAATGGCCACTGTCTCTGCAAAACTTAGCTCTATATGTGCAGAGTTTGCAGCCTTGCTATTAACCAGATGACACAAGTTGTAAGAATACATTTGACAAGCTCCATTAAGACCCAGCAGACCATGTTGTTTCTGCAAAGTCACCCTGAAGTGGTGAGAACTTGATGGGAAATGTGTCAGTTATCCCAACAAAAGAGCATTGGGAACACAGGTGGAGAACTGAGAAGACAGACGGGGGCATCCTTCCTAGGACTGGGGTCCTAGGGAGAAAAGGTAGAGGAGTAATGTGGGGTTGCTCTATTCCAGACTTGGCAAGGCCTTTGCCTCTGCCCAAGCTTCCAAATAACCAAGCGCTCTTTGATTCGCTGACCCCTGGGAGCACCTGGCGGATGCTCTGCACTTGGTGTTGGGGGAGGTTTGGGAAGGGACATAGGCAGCCAGCTGGAGATAGTAGAGGATAGGGCGCAACAATGACGTGGACAACAGAGCACACACAAACGTGATAAGGGGAGATCTGGCAATTTTCAGGACAGTTTGGTGAATTTCAGGGACCAACGTCATGCCAAACTCCAAAGTTTCAAGTTCCTGAAAAGGTGTCATTGCCAAACCTCCACCTCACCTTGACACTTCACCTCACAGAATACGAGTTGCAGTACAGTTCAACTGCTCACATTGCAGCACGTTAGGGCATGATTTTCTTTGTAAGGTATAAGAAATCTAGCTACGTACATATTTACAACTGGCCTCTTTGCCTTTCGCCTATAGTGTGAAGCCTTCCTGTGCATTGCTGCCTCTTTGTTCCCACTGCTCCAATTTCCATTTAAGACTTCACCCCAATGAACCGCTCGTGAGTCACGGGGTTGAGTCCCTCCAGGATCCTGGAACCCCAAATCCAAGTCAGTTAACCAACTTTTAGGTTCCAGGAAGCGAGTCTTTCAATAGGCCTGTCAGGAGCTTCAGACGTGGGGCATTGCTCTCCCTTCAACCTGGACCTCTCTGTGCAAGGAGACCAAAAGAGGTAATCTTAGGCGTTCTGGGGACAGCATTCTTTTTCTTCATTGTCTTACATGTGTGTGTGTGTGTGCGTGTGTGCATGTGTGTGTGCGTTCATGTGTGCATGTGTGTGTGCGTTCGTGTGTGTGTGTGTTCATGTGTGCATGTGTGTACAGGCATGGCCACATGTGAGTGTGTGCACGTCTGGGCATGTATACATGTATACCGATGAGGGAGATTGCCCCCATGTGTGTGCCCATGCATGTGTGATGGTGGGTGTGTGGGTGTGTGTGCTTGTGTGCTATGTGTATAGAAAAGAACAAGCTGGCCAGAATCTAGGCAGTCAGTACCTGAGGCGCCTTTGCAGTTCCCTGTCATTCCTGACTTTCCCTGGAGGAGGTGGAAGTAGAGAATTCTGGAACTCCAAATTCAAGGGGGAACTTTGGGCCTGTCACTGGAGTCCAGCAGCCAACAACCACCCCAGAATGGGTCACTAAAGTGCTTCCTATCCCTGAATGGGCTCACTGCCAGAGTCCAAGGCACCTTTGGTTCTTAGCAGGCAGCTGTTGGCAGCCAATCCCCTGAGCCTGTCCACTCACTGTCTACCGGCCTGCGGCTGCCAACAGCCCCACGTGTCTGTCAGGGTCAGAAGATGACTGGGATAAGGGGACAGGTTATATAGGCCATTTGCCACCTCTCCAGTTCTCTAGCTCTCCCACCCCATATCTGCACTGTGTCTATATTCCCAATGCATCACGCAGGCTCACTCTGAAATACCAGTCCAAAACATCCCAGAACCAAGTAAAATTCTCGGCACTTACAGCTTATCCCGTGGAGTGAGCACATCCTACCTGAAGGCACTATTTTACCACTTCTTAGGGTTACATTCACTTCCTCTGGGTCCTGTATCCAAGAGACAGTCCAGATACGTGGAGAGAGGGGTAAGGAGTGGAGGCTCTGCTCCCTGGAACAGGGTAATTAGAAAGAAACAATTAACTAGGCCAGCCAAACAGGGCCTCCCTAATGCGTAAACAGGCCAAAGGAATTCTGGCAGTTTTAGAAAGGCCACCAACAGACATGCTTTCCCTCGCACCCATTCAAATCAGATAAAAACATATATATTTACTATGCACATGCACACAGAATATTTACTCGTGTATACACAAGCAAACACACACATAAGCCACACATTCACAGCGATGTGTACAGGCATATGTATCTGTACATTGTAGATTCACTTCCACACATAGTAATACAGATTTACACTGACAGATACAGTACTATAATCCTCAAGTGATTGTACGTGTACACACTCCTACTTTGATGTATATACACTCACCCCAGTTATACACAAAAACACAGACGCAGAAGCACAGTTTAAAGAGTAGGTGGGTAGGGGGTGAAGGGCTGCAGGACAGGCTGCCTAAGGAGGAAGAGGAACATAGGTTGAGTGCTTTGCAAAGCTCACTCCCCGACGGCCTCCATCAATGAGCTGCTGCTTGTGCTCCGCAAGTTGGTGTGGGGGCTGAGTCAGCCGGGTGCGGCGGGCGGGGCCCACACTCTCCACTTGCTGGGTTCATGCTCATTGGCAGATCAGTGGCCTCTTCCTGTCGAGGTGTTATAGGTCTGTAGGGTGAGGTGGGCAGCCTGACAGCTAGGCAGGCTTTGCCAGCACACCTCCTTTTGCAAAGGGGAGGAAAGAAAGGGGCACACTTCAGCTGAGAGATAGGAGAAAAGCGAGGAAAGCACAAATGTCTTCAAGCATGGCACACGAGTTCCACATTTTCCTTGGAACACTGGGGAGAAGGTGCTTTGCCTTTCCTGGCTTACAGGGTTCCTGTGAGGGTCCAGCGATGTGATGGGTCAGTGAGCTCGTAGACACTTAATTATACACTAGACAGATAGAAAGGATTAGTATATAGATTTATAATAGTTCATCTGCTATTCTAGATCAAATGGTGAAATAGCAAGTGTGAACTTTCCTAGCCTAGTGCTTAATCACCAAGAGCTGACACCACGACTAGCGATCAACTCAACAATTCATAGAAAGCTAACTCCTGACTCAACAGAAGTTTTGAGTCCCTTTTGTCAAGCATTCTGAAGCAGAGGTGCAGGCAAGAGGATAAATTCTAATCCCTCCAAAGTGGCCAGCTGAACCTGTGCATTCTTTAACCTCACATCAGCCCTGCCTACCACAAGTTCCTGCCACCTCCCTGTCATTCCTCTTCCTGCACCGCAACACCGTGCTCAAGATACAAGCCAGAGTCATGGGCGGGAGGCACTTGCAGATACTTCCCAACTTTGCCATAGCCAGTTTCTCACACTTCCAAGCGTGGCTAGCCCTTCCCCTGTGACCTCAGCCCAACCCAGCTTGCCTTTCCCCCACACAGCCCTAAGCAAAGGGTTAGCAAGGCCTATGGCCTCGAGGAAGGAAAAGAAACAAAGAAGTACTGTCATGAAAAAGAAATTTCAGTGCCTGAAGGTGGCAGGAAAGAGAAGACCCCAGAAATGTTTCTGAGCAAGGCTCAGTGCTTTCCTTTGCTCCCAGCCTGGCTCGTCTCTGTCTTCTAAACACTTCCAGGGACTTTGCTGCACTTAGCAACTTCTGGAAATGTTTGAAAAGGTGTGAATCTTCTTGCCAGAAAAGAAATCGATGAGCTATTGACTCCTAAACCCCTCCTCAGCTCCTTGCCTCCCGGCCAGAGCATGTGGAGTCTTTCTAACTGTCCTCCACCTCAAGATAATAAGGAGAAGTGTTGAACTGGTAAGTACCAAATAAAACGATCAAAGGAAAGAGAGAAAAATAAACCCAAAAGGTACCATGAAGGGAGCAAAACACAGCGTTCCTGCCATGCCAGGGTCCTGGGAACTAATACAGGTGGTACAGCCAGTAAACAATATTGAACAACCCAAAGGAAACAGGGAAGAGGACTCGGCACCACCTGTCTATCTCAGGGACATGGTCAGGGTTAAAGAGCTGGGAAGAGATCGCTTTACTGAGGCAGCATCCAGAGCTCAGGAGGCAGTCATCTTCAGACTCTGAGCCACTGTCCTCCTGGTCAGAGGTCATGGGATTCTCCACATCGATGCTCCGGATATTGTCAGCGTTACCCTCACGTTGCTCCTCAAGGTCAAGGCTGCTCTTGACACTGATGTCAGCCAGTAAGCGCTCGATCATATCAGAGTCCCAGCCTGCTTCTTGCAAACACCTCTGGAGTAGCATGGGCCTCCCGCTGGGGCCACGGCCAAGGCTCTCATCCAAGCCCAAGTTGTCTTCGGAGTCATCCTCGCTGTCGTCGTAGGTCTCCACACACACACGGGCTTCGGTATGGATGTGGATTTTGGTGGGAACAGTAATATCATGAAAGCCAGGAAGGGCCTGCTGGGAGGTGGAGGGAAGATGGCTCAGGTTCTCTCCAGACTCCAGCTGGGCCAGGCTGGAGAGGGAAGAGAGTGTGCTGAGGCTTTCGGAGGTGGCCAGTGGGGCCTGCTCTGAGATGGTTGCCAGAGAGCCAAGGCTTTCGGGGCTCGCCAGGGGAGCCTGTGCAGGGCGGGTGGGAAGAGAGCCAGGATCAACTTCATTTTCCACGTTAATGAGGTCATCATTTGAGGAGATAATGGATAGGCTCATCAGTTCCTTATCACCTAGATGGCTATGTACTGGGGGGAGAGAGAGGGAGGGGGCTTTCCTCATCAGCACTGGCAGTGTTACTGTTGATCTCTTTGACAGACACAGACATCTCCGCTTGGATCTCTGGCGCTCAAGGGGCTGAGAAGAGGACAAACAGGCTGTTAGCATGCAAGGGGAGGTCGCGGCGGCAGCCAAAGCAGTGTCTCGCTGGGGGCAGCTGCTCCCTCAGGAGCACTGGGTGCTGGATGGAGGCCACTCAGGCCGCTGGGCAGGGCTCCCTGCCCGGGAGGGAGGATGCTGGATATTAGTGTTGCTTGAGGCGGAGGCCTCAGCATAGCCTTGGGAGTTTGCAGAGCCAAGGAAGGAAGACTAGGCAGGCCAGCCTCTCTGGTGTCTGTCTTCCTTTCAGCCTCCCTGTGCCCACCTTCCCTTTCTGGCTTTGTCACCTGCCCTGTAAGCAAGCAAAGTGGAACAAATTTGACTCAAAGATCTGGAGAAATCTAGCTCTGCCACTTCTTGCCTTGTGACGCTGGACAATGGTGATCTATAAAGGAGTGATGATAAATTAGTCCTACTTCTTTGTTATCTGCTGTGGGTGTGCGCTGTGCATGTGTGTGAGGATCAAAGCGTGAAAGGGTCAAGAGGCCGGCCTGGGCTCAAGAGGTGCTCAGGGAAAGCTGCCTGTCAGTCAAAAAGTCAAACCTGCACATTTCTCACCACTACATCATGGTAGAGGTAGCGGGCAATGAGTCTTCGGAGTCTCCTGTGTCGTCGACGCTGGCGGCGAGGTCCTTGGCTGAAGTAAAGGTAGTTGATGTAGATATACTCCATCAAGGACAGGAACACGAAGAACAAGCACACGAGGATATAGATGTCAATGGCCTTGACATAGGCAATGTGGGGGAGTTTATCCCGCAGGTGTGAGTCGATGGTGGTCAGGATAAGGATGGAAGTTAGGCCTATAAATAACAGCACAGGTTAAGTCTCCTTCGGTGGTTGAAGTTCTTGGCAAGCCATCGGGCCTACATCCCACAGGAAGGGAGAAAAGGCTGTGTCTCAGGTGGGGCCTCTGCCCATGTGTGCTCCTTGTTCCCTCTTCCCCATGTTTAAACCCAGCTGGCGCTTTACTGCTTTGATGACTTCCCATTGCTCTGAGAATCAACTTCCAAATCTGTAGCCATGGCCAAACAATGATTTATAGCTCCAGTCCCACCTTGCCCTATTTGCCTTCCAGTACATACTTTCCCCTTTGTATCTGAGGAAGTTTTGTGAACCCTGAAATACTGCACACCTATCAAGGTTTGGTCCCAAATGTGAAGATAAAGACTTCTTTAGCCTCTAAAGATGGTGAAGACAAACCACTTTTAAGCAGTCCTTGCTCAAAAACCCTTCAAGGCTCCCTGTGCTCATGCGTGAAGTTCAAGATCTTCCCAAGGCTTTCCAGGCTGTCTTTCTGCTGCTTTCCTCACCTGCCTAGGTCCTGCCCCAGGCATCCTGTGATTTCACCCACTCTCAGGGCCCCTCTGTCTGTAAGCCTGTTATCTCCTCTTTAGAGGATACCAAGTCTTGTGTCCGAGCTTCCTGCAGGCCTTCAAAACTCACTTCAAACAACACTTTCTTGATGCAGCTTTAGCCACCAAGGCCTGGGTCACCTCCTGCCCTGGACTCTGATAGCTGGCACCTGCACATTCCACTACTCACTTGTCAAGGGCAGCTCCTCTGGAAGCTCTGCTGCTTAACAGGACATTTTGACGTCTCACTTAATCAGTGCTTCTAGTGTCATGTTTCTGGTCTAAATGTATTTATACTTACATATTCAGTAAATAATGAGCAATGGAACTTTGGGCTCATCACACCAAGATTCCACCCCTGATGCTGTTTTTACCCCATCTCTAGTGCCAGTCTCTGCACTGGGCATGACTGGCTGGGCACCTGAACAGTGCACACTGGAAAGGTCCTGTGTCCTTGCCTGCACAGTGACACACCGCTCTAGGTTTTCCCTCTCGGAACTTTTCCTGAGTAAAATGGCCCACATTATTCCCTGAGATGGACACGAGACCTACCAATTGTCACCCTGGCTGCCGCAGAATCATGGCTCATCCAGAATGATATCCAGGAGAGAACAGTGGTGAGAACAGTGGGCCAATAGATGTGCAAAAGATAGCTGCTGATTTCCCGCTGCACTTCGAAATTCATTACCAGACGCATGTAGGAACCTGGAAGTAAACACTAGTGTCAGCCGCACGCGGTACAGCAAGTCTCTCTGTCCACATCATTTCCTCACTTACACCAGGTTACAGACAAGAATCACTTCCAAACTGCCAACAGACGGAGGGTGAGAGGCTGGGCCTGAGAAGAGCATGAGTGTTTTCCACCGTTAGGGGCGTAAACCTGGCCAAGTGCATCTACGTCCTTTCCACATTTGCAGATGAGCCATCGAAACCTCATCAAGGGGGTCCCTGGAACATGTCCAGGATAAAGGAAACAGAAAAGGACGCAGGAGAGAGTGTGGGCATCAAAGGCAGGGGCCTGGAGGAGTTTATAGGGGTACAAAGGGGGGCAAGAAACAGAAGAAAAGGAAGGCGCCAGACTCACCTGTGTAGAAATACACCTCCTTGCTAGTAATCATCCTCCCCAGGAAATTGAACTGAGGGATTTTCAGCTCCTCGGTCATCTGAACGCCATCCTCACCGTTTTCCCAGGCTAATAGGACGTCTTCGACAGTGTAGCCATCTGGGAAGGGGAGAGAAACGGAGATGGTGTCAGAAAATAGACACAGATTTCACACCAGAGCTGTCTGTGAAAATGAAAGCACGGTTGGGACTTGAAATTAGGGGGCTCCATTGTTGCTTGCTGAGTCTCAGTGTGGGGAGAGTTCGAGCACTTCGAAAAAGAACTCTCACTCTGGATTTTCTTTCGCTGGAAGGAGAGGACTGGAAAGAGACACAAGCTCCTACTCACAAGCTTGTACCTAAGTATCCAGTGACAAGGTATCATTTCCCAGTAGGGCTAACTACCTTCCAAAGATCATTTGCTCCCAGCTGCCATATATACATACCTCCCGGCCAGTCATCTGTGAGGGATAATCAAAAACTACAGTGAATGCTTAAATGTTTAAAAAATGGGTTACATTAAAGGACATATTGCCACGAACCCCCTCAAAATCCTCCTCCTTGCTTTGAACATACTTATCTCATCGTTCTTGCTACTTTCTGAAGCAGTTCTGGAAGTCCTGTTTTGTGTCCTTAGTTATGTTGTTGAGGCTCTCTCCATGTCCTTAATTGATTCAAAACATTTTTTACCTTCCATGGTCATTTTGACTTGGAGGAAGAGCCAGAAGTCACTCAGTGCCAGATCCAGTGACTAAGGTGGAAGACGACACACCATAGTATTTTTACGGAGTGCCTTTCTGTGGGATGGCCCTTGGCAGTAGCGTTTACCGCAGTTTTGATCACACTCATGAAAGAAGACTTCCAGAACTGCTTCAGAAAGTGGCAAGAATGATGGGATAAGTGTGTTTGAAATGGTGGGGGGATCTTTTGAGGGGGGGTTCATGGCAATTTGTTTTTACTGTAATAATTTTTTTGTCTTTTTGAGAGGGTCTCGCTATGCAGTTCAGGCTGGCCTTGAGCTCACTTTGTAGCCCAGGCTGGCCTCGAACTTGCAAGGATCCTCCTGCCTCAGCCTCCCAAGTGCTGGGATTACAGGCATGCGCCACCACACCCGGCAGATTTTTAAAATTTAAATGTTCATTGTATATTTTGATCACCCCTTGTATCATGTGCCAATCATCTATCCTTCCGTCATTTTATCTATTGATCATCTATGTCTTCAGGAAAGAGAGAATGGGGAGAAGGAGGGAGGAGAAGAGAGATGCTGTCCCTCTCACTGTCAACTCTGTTTGTGGTTTCCTGACTGCTGCAGCCCCAGGCAGAGAAGAAGCGTCCACAGGAGAAATACGCACAGCTCTCCACTTCCAGCTTGCATGTCTGCTGGTCCATAGGGAATTTATGCAGATCCAAGGAACAGCCTGTTTTGGCGGTCAGCCTGCCAAAGGAAACAAAACAAAAGAGAAAAGTGAGCGGAGCCCAGGCAAGCACCCATTCCTACAGGCACTGCAGGGGTGGAAAGCAAGAATTACCCTGGAGATTGACCTGTTTGTGGGAAAGAGAAGAGAACTGCAGTGTGACAAGGACGCTAAGAGATCTGGCAGGATTGATACCAAGAACAGATGTATGGCATGTCAGCAAACCATGGGATGTCAGAATGGGAAGGACCCTAGAGGGAACTGATGCAGAGACAGAAAGAAGACCCGGGCTTGCTAAAGAAGTGTCAAGGCTGTCAAGAGAAGACTGTGTGCTACACGGAAGCCACTGAAGTTGCATATCCAGTGCGAAGGGCAGGTGTGAGATGTACGTGTAAAGATAGGAGTAATTTCGCGGCCAACCTCTGGCCACATCGGTCCTTGTGCCAGAGGTGCAGGCCTGTACAATCTCAGGCACTGGCAAGACGCCAGTGGGCACAAAACAGGTGACAACATACCCATGATTGGCCAGGTAAGGGCTAACAGTAATTCAAGTGGGAGGAGTTTCAGGCTGCTGTGCGCTGCCTCCAGAGCAATCTGAAAGATGGCCTTGGAGGAGCTGGGGAAGAGACCCGTGAGAAAGAAAGGAGAGAGAAAAGCTCTTTACTGCTTCGGCCTGAAGGCTCTTTCCCCCGGCTTCCACCATTCAGCCTAGCCTACTCCCCGTCAGTCACTGAAGCAGTTTCCATTTTGTGCCACAGGTAGGGTATCTGTGCATGTGTGAGACTGTCTTGATTTCACTTCTTCCCATAAACGTCCCATGGGACGGTAGTCAGCTTATGTGCCCTTTAAGTTAACTAAGAGTGATCAATGGTCGCCGTTGTTACTCTTAGACTCCAGAGCCTTGGCTCATGGGAAAGGGGATGGAGCAAGAAGGACGGAAGCAATGAGACACGAGCACTGGAGAGAAAAAGAAACTCAATGAGCTTTGCTAGCTACCACTTGGAGACATTTTCAGAGCCAAGTTTACCTCTTACACTTGTCTTTAGGTACCATTTATAAGAGCTGGCACTGTGAGGACAGCCTTGAGGACAATCTGGGTAGGTATAAGTGGATCAGTATTCTGTGTGTACAGAAGGCCAGAAACCAAAGACCCTTGCCATACACACCATCACACCAGCTTCCCCTTCTCCAGGGCCCCCTGCGGGCTGCAAATGTGACCAAGGGCAATGATAGGCCCCTTCCTTCATTGCATGGGCTCCAGCGCCACCTCCCTCCCTCCTCCATTGCAGGGAGAGAAAAGACACAGAGATAAATAGCAATGTGTACAATGCCAGGATAGAAGGTGGGGTCTTTCAGTCCAGGGAATCAGGAGGATGTTTTCACCAATCAGGCATCCGAACCAGAGATTGAAGGGTGAACATTTCAGTTCATGGAAAAGGAGAAAGGGCCCTCGAGACAGAAGGGACAGCAGAAGCCAAGGTGTGGGGACAGGACCAGCCAAGGGATTCTATGGGAAACTCTGAAAGTGGTGGAGGGGCAGTGCAAGGCAGTTTTGAAAGCAGCGAGGGCTGGGGATATATAGCTCAGCGGCACAGGTGCCTGCCTGGCAAGCACAAGGTCCTGAGTTCGATTCCTGGTACCAAAAAAAAGCAATGAACTCCTCTGTGTCCCTTACAGTGTGTTTATGGGATACACAGCAGGAGAAAGAAAGCCCATTGGCACATCCCTGGACCCCTGCAGGAACTTACCGGATGCCATACCGCACCGTTCCATCAGGGTGAAGCTGAAACATGCGATTCTCCACAGTTGCATCCTGCATAAAAACGTCTTTGCTATTCAGAAAGTAGCAGTCTGGGACCCACAACATCTCATTCATGCGATAATCCAGGGTCAGGTTCAGGTTGGTCTCATGATATGCTAAGCGTGAATCCTTCCAGGTCTGATAAAAATACATCGTGATTGTATAGTCCTGGGGAAAGAAAGGTAAGTTCCAGTTGTAAGCTAGGTCTGCCATTCTGCCATTCTGTCTTCTGTGAGTGTGTGTATGGTGAAACATGATAAAGATGAGTGTATGAAATATATGCTTTTGAAAGAAGAATAACAAGTGAACCTTTTGTGATTATAATGTAGGTTAAGACACACAGCATTACTAACATGTTTCTAGCCCCAATGTGTCCTTTTCAGAACATACTACCCGCTGCCTCACAAGAACCAGTGTTCTAGATATTAGGATGAGAATCGCCTTGCTTTGGGCTAGTTTTACTGTTTCCTGTGTATTTCTAAAAGACATGATGATTAGTTGCACCTATGTTTTTGAACTTCAAAGGAACTCATACTGTCTGTATTTGTCATTTGGTTCTTTCACTCAGTATTATATTCGTGAGATCTAGTTTGGTTGATGTGTGTAGTTATAATTTGTTTATTTGCATTTCTGGAGAATATTCCATATATAAACATACCATGCATGTAATCATGACAGCTCCATACATACTGAAATGAAGATGTTATAACAACGACAAAATGAAAATTCCAATTTATACCCCTGCCAAGAGCCAAGAGCTGATGGAGACTTCCAGCGTCCTCCCCCACACACTGGCGCTGGTGTCATGGAGTACGCAAGCTCTTTGCACACACTGTGGTTTCTCACTCACTCTGCATTGCACTGATTCCTAACAAGGTTAAGTATCTCTTCATACTTAGTTTCTTCAGCTGTTTAGTTTTATCTGCTATTTAGTTGTTGTCACACAAGTGAAATTCTTGCTCATATTTGCTGACCATCTTTCTGTCCATTTAAAAATATTCTTATTAATCCACAGGAATTATGTGTCCTTTGAATGTTAGTGCTTTGGGTTGCAAATATCTTAGTCCACCCTGACTTAATCCCTTCTGACACTTGCTACAGTGGTTTTGTTTAGCAAAACTGAAGCGTCAGTTTTGGCTACACAGAAGTAAAACACTGTTGAACTTACCAGTATTTATTTTTATGATTTGTATTTCCTTTGGCCTTTAAGAGACATTTCATTTGTCCTGCCATACTGGGGATGGAACCCAGGGCCGCACACATGTTAGGCACAAGCTCTTCCAATGACCTACGTCTACAGCCCTAAAAGAAATCTTGATCTACTTACTCCAAACACAGACAGTGTCCTATATGATCTTTTAAATGCTTCATAAGCCTTTCACCTATGAGTCGATAATCTGGAGCTGATTTTTTGGATATGGTGTGATGTGGGGTTCAGTTGATTTATATTTTATTCCAGGGGCTGTATTTCCAAAACCTACCCTGTTCCTTTATGGGAATTCTGTGTTAGGTCAGAATAGGAGTTGGCTTATGACTCTGTTCCTTGTCTCCTATTCTGTCTCCCATACCATTGCTGGAAGTGACACACTTACCATGTCCATATCCGAGATCTCGTGAATGTTGCAGACATAGATAGCTATTTTCACGGTCACAGGGGCACCTACAATACAGAAGGACACTGTTACATGAAGGTTGGGAAAAAGGTGAGGAGCCAGACTGACTGGATTTGAACCTGCTGTGACACTTGCTAGCTGTGTGGCTTTGAGTAAATCTTTTTTTTTTTTTTGAGTAAGTCATCTTTTTTCAGCCTCAGTTCCTTCATGGCACAATGACGACAATAATAGCACTGATGTCATAGTTCTTTAAGGTCAAGCACTTAGTTTTTGTTTTTTTTTTTTGTTTTTTCTCCGGTACCGGGAACTGAACTCACGACCTTGCGCTTGCCAGGCAGGCGCTTTGCCGCTGAGCTAAATCCCCAGCCCCAAGATCAAGCACTTAGAGCAGTGGTGGTGAACCTATGTGTTATTTTTCATTTAAGACAAAAGATGTATGAGTTGTTTCTTCTAAACTAAAACCTTAGTATTCAGATTTAACTGCAGTGTTGGGTCTTTGTGATAAACAAGTGGGTGTGGGGCTACAATTTGGGCACTCATCTCTAAAAGGATAGGCATCACTGCTTTAGAGCAAGGTCGAGCGCACGATATACTGAAGGGAACGGGCCAGGGCAAAACAAACTGGAAATAAAGGAATAAAGTACTCTTTTTCTAAAGGTTTCCCGATAAAAACTAAAAATCAAGAAGCCCTCACACAAGAACCAAGATTCGTGCTTATGTGTGAGTATGAGTGAGTGTGTCCATGTGTATAAGTGAATTTGTGTGTTCATGAACAGGTAAATGTGTCAGTGTGTACAAGCATGTCTGTGTATGAATGAATGTATGAGCATGTTTGTGTCCGTGTGTATGGGATGAAATGTACAGATATATTGAAGTGCAAGTGGTGTGTGAGGGAGTGAATGAGTGAATGTGTGACTGTGTGTGTTTATGTACAGGTGAATGTCTGAGCACATGTGTGGTGGTGAGCCTGTCTCTACATATGAATGACTTCATGTGAGCATGTCCATGTCGGTAAGAGAATTTGTGTGTGCTCATATGTGAGTGAATGCATGATCATGCTTTTGTGTTTCAGGATGTTGTGTGGAAGTAAATGTGCAAGCACACATGATCATGTAGACATCATGTGTGGATTTGAAAAGGTGAAAGATTTATTGGATCTGAAGAGAAACCAGAGTGATGTGTGGATTTGAATGTATGGGTATGAGCATATCCATGTGACCAAATGTGTGATGTGTATGTTCATGTGCAAGTGAATTGTGAGCATGTGTGTGTTTGTGAGCTCATTTGTGTGACTGAATACATTTTTGTGTCTGTGAAGATTTATTGTGCTTTTGTAATGGTGAATATGTGAGCATGTCTTTAAGTATGAGTGTACTCGTGGAAATGTGTGTGTTTGTAGGTCAACTGATGCATGAGCATGTTTCTGAGGAAATGAATGTGTGAACATGTCTTTATACATGTTAGTGTGTGCATGTATTTGAATGTAAGTTTGGAGTAAATGTGTGTGTCTCCGTGAGTCTATTCATGTGTTAGTGTTTTTTGGGAGCCTGTCCATCTGTGAGTGAATGCATGAGTATGTTCATGGATGTAAAGTAGTTGTATGTGAATATGTTTGTGTATTGTGTGATGTATATGTGTGCTCATATGTATATGCATGCTCTTGAATATGAGTAAATGGACATGATTGTGTGAGGGAATGCTCATGTTTGAGTGAATGCAAAAGACTACTGTGCTTGTGCATGTCAGTGTATGTGCACTCATTTTCATCTTGTAAGTGAATCTGTTAGTATATGTGAGCATGTTCATGTATTTTCTTAGGTGTGAGCATTGTCATATGTGATAAATGTGTGAGTATACTTATGTGTGTGTGAGCATGTGTGTGCATAAGAAAGGATGTTAAGGGTGTCTTCATATTTCTGAGTGAATTTTTGAGAGTTCTTACACATGTGGGCATATTTGTATGTGTGTGTTCATGTGAGAGTGAATTTGAGTATTATTCCATATGTGGGAATATTTGAGAGTGCATGCATGAGCATGTCCATGTGTGTATGTATGAGCAAATTTGTGTGTGTGTTAATGTGTGTGAGCAAGTTTGCTAGTGTAACTAGGTATGTGGGCATATTTCTGTGAATGAATATGTTAATTTTTGTTCATGTTTGTGAGTGCATCGTAGGTGTGCTTGTGCAAGTATATTTATATATGAATGTGTCTGTGTATGTGTGACTGTGTTAATATGCATGTTCACAAGCATGATTGAATTTGAGTATATTTGTATATATGAGCATGTTTGTGCATGAGTGTATTACTGTTTATTAATGTGAGCCAATTTGTGACTGTGTGTGTACATGTTCATTGTGTATATGTGGATGTGTGAGTGTGCCAATGTTTGTGTCAGTGCACATAACTGAATTTGTGTATGTGAGCATGTTTTTCTACGTGAGTGAATTACGTGAGCATATTTATGTGTATGTGTCAGCATGTTTATGTGTGAGTGTGTTAATGTGTGTACCCTTGCATGAGTGACTTTGTATATGTGAATATGTTTGTGTGTGAATGTATCCACACATCCACGTGTGTACTGTTTGTGCATGTGATAATGTTATGTTTGTTCATGCATATGAGTGAATCTGTGCTTGTGTATGTGGGCACATTTATGACTGATGATGTTCGAGTGTATTCGTATGTGTGTGATCATATCTGCGAGCATGTCTGTGACTGCTGTACATGTTCATGTGTATGTGATGGGGGTATGCTTGCCTGTGTGCTCACACTTGTGTGGGCGTGTCTGTGTGGGGGTCATTTTGGGAGTGAGTGCATGTGTGAGTGACTGCCCACGTGAATGTGTGTGACTGAGTATGTAAATCTGTGTGCCTCCTAGTTTCTTTCTGGCCTGTCTGTTAGCAGTGTTCATTGGCAAGACTCAAATGCGCTCGTGGGTGTGGCAATGTGGAATGAACTCTTGGGCACTGTAGACAAAAACATTTTTATTGTCCCCTCATTGGCTCCAAGCTCTCTCCATCCAGCCCCACAGCGTGACCATTCTTCTTGGTGTGTTACATCACACTGCTGCTAGGGAAACACGCGTGATGCTTGCAGTTCAGCCTGCTGCTTTCTTTGTAGGCTGATTGCCCAGAAGCTGAGCTGCAAAGAGGGAAATGTGGTGTTCGAAGGCCAACACTTCAAAGAGCACAGTGCTACTGGGGATAAGCATATGAATGGCAGCTGAGAAGTAAATGGGCTCTGTGCTAGGGCACAGCCCAAACTCCAGCCTTTGGGGCTATTGTGAACAAGCCCCAGGAAAGTGCTATGTAGTGACAGGAGTTTCTAGGAATGCAAATATTGATTACTGCCTTTCAGGCCCTCCGCAGGCCCTTAAAGGCTGGAAGCTGTGTTAGGCAGGCAACAAGCCCCCGAGGGGCCCAGCAGCCAGAGCCTCCCCCTTCCCTGCTCCAGTTCTGACTTCCCCCTGGACCATTCCGCACCAAAGGGGAAACCCCTTCCAGAATGGGGGAATGCTATCCTGGGGGCCTACGGCGCGGGCACAGAGCTGCCCATGGGTCCCCAGATGAAGGGGCAGGTGGGAGTTGAAATGCAGCCCCCCCACTGTGAAGATGCGATCCTCGTGGGATGGTGTCAGCCCTGCAGCCTGTTACTGTCCCTTTGATAGACTGGGGAAGACAGGAAAAGAGGCTGGGATACTCACTTTCCTCCCTCCCTCTTGGAACCAAGTCCTCTTCGTCCCTAAAAACTCAATGTCCTGTTGGGCGGGGTATCAGGCTAGCGGAAGCCCTTAGGGAGCTGCCTTGTGCAGCACTGCCGATTTCTCAAGTGAGTACTGTGGCTGCTATTTCACCTGCCTGTGGTGTGTGTGTGCTTAAGGGAGAGGCAGATAAGCCCTGAACTTCTACTCCATGTCAGATACATAGGGGGATTTGACCTTGCCAAGGGAGAGGCTGTGCAAGGACCCTTGCGAGCCTCAGTCTAGCTGTCCTTTTGCTGGTCTCCCCCCACACCCACCAAACAACAGTCGCGGACACAGAGTCTGCGTGCTAGCAGGTCCTAGGTCGTCCCTGCCCTCCTGCCTTCATCTGCTGTTTGGCCAAATTAATCCAGGGGTCCATCTTTTTAGGCAACCTGCCCTAAAATGGTGAGGTGAAAATGCTTGGTGGACTTTGGTGGTTGCTGGTTGGCGTTTGCTAAAAAAACATGAGGAGGCAAGGAGAAGATGAAGTAGTGACTCCCTTAACCGCCACCCCCGACCTTCCCACCCATCCCACCCTACTGTACCCAACCCCACTAACCCCACCCCTTTCTTGCTTACTTTGACCCCTGAATTCCCATGGACCCTGACTTTGTCTCTAGGGGACCCACACAAGAGGAGCTGCTGCCCTTGCAGGGTCATCTTAGAGAGAGTGCCTCTGCCCTACGGGCCAGTGTCCTGGTGCAGATGCAGGCACCTTGGGTCCCTTGGGCTGTTCCTTGGTCCTCACACTCTGGGGGCAGCCGTGGGACAAAGGGGAAGCACCAGTCCTGAAACTTAGGGCCCAGGACAACCACCTTGCTTTTCAAGGGGCCTCTCCAGGCCCAAACTAGCACTCTCAGACTCCCACTGGTTCTAGCCCAGCAGCAAATGCTCCCACTGTGCGCTGGATGGGCAGCCCGCAGGGTGTTCCTAAAACCTCTATTCACATGCAGGAACAGGAGTGGCTAGCAGCCATTAACCCTTTACTGTGAGTATCTTCCTATGGGAAGTTGGGTGGTACTTTTGACTTAGTGTCCCTGTTTTTTTAAGTCCTTCTGCTTCCTTTGAGCTGGAAAGTAACTAATTTCTATTCGGTGTACCTTTTCTTTTGTCTGTCCTTAGTCTAGGCTTCTGGGTGTCCCCTGGAGCACAGAATCACGTCGGGTTTTGTGTGGGGTCAGACACTTAAGTGGCCCTCACTTACAGCTGTGTGGTCTGGGCTAAGCAGAAATATAGGGAGAAACTGAGGAAGGGATTCTCGGAGGTCTCTGTGTCAGGTTCCCTGTCATTTCTCATGGCTGAGCTAGAGATCTGAGTGCTAGGCTGAGGTGTTTGTGTTTTGTAGGGGAGTTAGCTATCCTGGGTTCCTGCGGTGATCAGGCTGCATTTCCTAAAGGTTACACTGAGTGTAGTGTTTTGAGGGGACTGAACTTGGTAGGTGCTGATGGCTTGGGGCGGTGGGGGAGGCCAAGATGGAAGTGCCTGAGGTCTAGGTAGGTTAGGGAAACAGAGCCAGAGGGGGAGATTTTGAACTAGCTGAATGGACAGGGTGGGCATTCATATGGCTTATGATTGCAGAGAAAGCCTCGTTCAAATGGAAGAACACATGTTCTCCCCACAGATGCAGCAGAGAACTCTAGCCCGAGAAGCTGGGTGCTGCGCACTGCGCAGCCAGTCCTGTGGCCCTTCTCCAGCCAGACTTTTAAGGGAGTGAGGCAGCAAGTGGGAGACATTTCAGCGAAGACATGGAGGCCTCCACTGGGGGATTGGATCCCGGGGGTGAAGAGCCTGGAGCAGCGTGGCTAGTCAGCTGATGTGGTGGGGCTGGCTGGGTTTCACCCCTATCCCACCTAACCCAAAAGCCTCTCAGGTCCACCCATGGCTTACCTCCAAAATTCGGTCTCAGCCGGACATCATAATTCGACAGCACCCTGTCTAGAATCTTTTGAACCAGGGATTGATTTGCACAATTTTTGCTGAAACAGAGAGGTAATGAGTAAATGCTGGTTGAGTGTGGCCAACTGGCCAGTGGCTGAGTTGCCAGAGCCTTCCCTGCGCATGGACACATGCAGACAGGCCCGGTCATACATGTATCTGCTTCCTCCCCTCCCTCCCCTCCCTCCCCTCCCTCCCTACGGTGAGTCAGCCAGAAGCACAGCAGTGACGCACTTTTCTTTTCCCTTCCCCTCCTCCCATCTTTCATCCGGAGGGTGGAGCATGGGGACTGGATCCCTGTTACCAGGCAGGACTAGAGGGTGGGGGAGGAGGGGATGCCATAGGAGAAGAGCCCAGGAGCCTGGGCAAATGGCGGCCCTCAGAAAACTGCATTGCTTCAACCCCGCAAGGAGCCCCACCTTGAGATCAGCCTAGATGCTGCTTTCCACATTGGTGGGCATCTTCCTTCCAGGGGTACCTGGTGCCTCCAGGAAAAGTCATCTCCCACTGTCAGTGCCCTCCTGAGCTAAGCCAATATCCTGGAGCTCGGAGCCACATTTGCCCCTACCTGGGACAGGCTGGGCATTTTTGCCACGTTTAAGTCAACCTTGTTTTTTGTACACGTCTGCTTTTCAGACTTGGCATATGGCTTATGATGCAGAGAGAGCCTCATTCATGTAGCAGAGATTTATGACCCCCAGTTCACCTAACCAGTTCAGGTTCTTGGGCTCAGAGCTGTCTTCCAAAATTTCCATTCTGGGCCAGAACATGTGCTTCCCCCCTGGAGGGACCTTGGCTGAACAAGTGGAAGTGGACCCAGGGCAGCTCTGCAGGGAGCTGGCCTTTCCAGAGGTCTCCTGTGTTCACACAGTTCACCTAGGGCTCTTTTCTCCAAAAGGCTGGTGAAGAGAAGAGGCCCTGGGCACCACTGTGACTCTGTGACGCATTTCTCCTGCAAATATGTGCCTGTGCGTGCATGTGCGCGTGAGCGTGTGTGTGCGTGAGTGCGTCTGTGTGTGCGCGCGCACACATTCAGTGGCGCAGTCTGATATGTTGGGTTGAGGGCACTGTAGGGCTGTCTGCTGGAACCTTGCCCCCACCTTTCCCCTTTTTCTCTAAATACGTATTTGTTTCTGCTTTACCATTCCGAATTATTCTTGATCTTTCTCAATCATAAAATTTCATTTCCTAACACTCCAAAGTATGTGCATGAATTATTCCTGAATTAAAGCAACGCATTCCCGCCTGTTTCCGACGACACATTCTCCATGTGCCAGAGCTTGGGGTCTGTTGCCACTACATATACACGTCATATGTGATCTATACGTGAAGGGTGAGTGTTCATGTCTGCAGATGCTCGCGGACCCACACAAACTTCAATCAAACAGTGAAAAGCCTGAATCCTCAACTGTTTTCACAGGTCGTAGGGTTACAGGGTTATACAATCGCGGATCGCAGAGTCTGGGCTTCCCTGAGGCTGAGTTAGTAATTTCTACCTGCCGCAGTGGAAAGAGCCCCTCGCCCCACAATACACACACCCGCGCACACGCACTCACACCCGAGCTAGCCTCGGACTCAAACAGGTGTCTCTCCTATTTTTGTTTTAAGAATTACCGTCACCCTGTTCCACAGGTGCCAAAGAACGCAACTAGGGAAAGCTGCCCCAGGGACCTTAGTTCTCGGGGATGACGGGGCAGGCTGTGGGGTGAGGACACTCCCAATCCGACTGCGGTTTGGGCATTCGCGGGGCACAGTCGGGCGCCGCAGTAACAGGTGGGCTCCGGGCTCCATCTCGGGTGGCGGCCATCATTCCCACCCCATTCCCCACAGGACTCACACGCTAGGACTCGGGGAGCCCGGATCGGAGTCCCCCCTGCGACCTGCCGAAGCCCGCCCATCCCGGGGGCCTGTGGCCATCTGTCCCCGCCGCGTCCAGCCTGGCGGCACCCGCTTACCAGTCGAACATGTCCAGGAAGTCTTCAGGCACTCGGGAGAACTTGAACTTCGGGGTGGGACTGGGCTTGTCGCTGTCCGCGAGCCAGGTTCTGATGAGCAGCAGGAGCGCGGCGACCCGCAGCGCGGCTCGGAAGCCCATGGCTGCGGCTCTCTGGGCGCCACGGACCGGGAAGGGAGGGACGGGGCTGGGCTGGGCAGCGGGTCGGTACCGGGCCGAGCTGGATGGGACCGCTAGTCCTCCCGCAGAGTCGCCTCTACGGAGGACTACCGGGGGCCACGGGGAGTGGGAAGCACAGGAGTTGGTCGGGAGCCCCGATCTCAGAGAGAACCGGGGGGAGCGGGTGCCCAGCAGCTCTGTCCGACGCAGCCGCGAGGTGCGCTTCGTCTGCGGCCGCTCCAAGCTGCGACTGGGCACGGAGTGGGGCGCGCGGCTGGCTCCGCCCACTCCGACGGCAGCGCAGGCCCAGCCAATCCGGTGGGTGCCAGGCGCCGCACAAAAAGGCGCGCGCTCCTGCCTCCGCCCGCAGCCCGCTCCTCTCGGCCCCCGCCCCTCCAGGCCTCTGCAGTCCTCCCGGGCCCGCTCCAGACACCGGCAGGGGAGGGGCCGCCTGGGGCGGGGCCGCCTGGGGGCGGGGCCTGCTGCCTGAGCCTTGGGCCCGGGTCGCGTCCAAGGCCAGCTGCTACTGTGCCTGCCCCCTGTATTTTTCTTGAAAGATCTTGTGCCCAGGGAATGTGGGGGCTTTCACTATCGGGAGTGGATCTACATTCTGAAAGACCTGGGCACCCTTGACCAGGAAGTACCCTGCTGCTGCTCATCCCCAGAGGATTGCTTGAACCTCCAGGAGCCCTGTGTGCCTCGCCTCTGGGTGGGTGGAAGGGGGCCAAGCAGTGTTTCTTGCGACACCTCTCTAGCCATAGCACTCCTGTCCTCCACAGGGATGGAAATTGGCCCCAAGGGCCCATGAGTTCCTTGAAGACTTGTATTTCCCAGAGAGCTTTTGACCCCAAGTTTGGGTCCCTAAGGGGGGAAAAAATCCCATGAAAATGAAAGGATTCACCAGTTTGGGCCTCCCTGAGACAGACCTCCCCAAGAAGGGGGAAAGAAGGCAAAGGTCAGCGCTTAGGATTGAGACCAGACCACGCCAGTGCCCCCGCCTCCGAAGAAAAATCCAAGCTTGGCATGTTAACTAGACGATTCTTATTCTTTCCACTCCTCAGGAAACTACCTGTGTGGAACCTCTGTATCCTCAACGGAAACCGGAATGCCTTCACCCGATTCCCCGTCCCTCACTTGGGGCCGGTGACCAACAGAGAAGCCTCACAGGAGCCGCGGCCAGGTGGATCGGCACCAAACGGCTCAGGTATGTTCACCCCCACTGCCCCTCCCACATGAACCCACTGAAAATGGTTGCCGGCGAAAAGGGGTTCGCGTTCACAGCTGGTTAACTAGGAGCGCTTGTGCCTGAACATATGCCCCCTTCCGCCTTTCCCCAGTACTTGGGGGCCTGAGCTGGGATTACTTGTGACCCCCAGAGCCTCTTAGCCTTGGTTGCCCAAGTGTTTTGCATAGCTGAAGGTTTAACTCTTTAGTTTCCCTTTATAAGAAATGCTTTAGAATCAAACCCCGAAGCAGGGCATCTCATACTTTCCTGCCTTCTGAAGAGCAGAGCACCTTCATGCCCTCTTTTCCCGTCTGACTTCTTCCTCTGCCAGGGCAGCGAATACTGTCCTTCCCATATGGACACAGAAGAAACAGGGAGGATGGGAGAGGAAATCAACCAAGCAAGCCCACGCCCGCCCCCAGCCCCTCTTCCTCCATTCGCCCTTGTAGTAATGAGGGCCATTCCAGGTCATTTTGTCCAGCAACTTGGATTGTAATACGGGGAACTGTGATTCAGAGAACGAAAAGGGACGGGCCCAGGGTCGCACAGTAGCAGAGGTCCAAACTAGACACCTTGGTTCCCAGTTTGCCTGCTTGGTGGAACAGCGTGTTTTCAGGGTAAGGCAACTTTGAGCGGCAGTTCAGACACCCACCAGCAGGTGGGAGTAGATTTGTTTGGATGCAGGTTGTCTCTAGCAGCAAGGAGTCAAGTTCCACAGGCAGCCTGTCCGGTTCCTCATTTGTCACAGAAAACAAGCTTGAAGCCAGAAGTTTCGTTCGTGGGTGCCCCTGTGACTGCACAGATTGCCAAAAAGTTGATGGTGAGGATGAATTCACCTCCAGAGCTTAAAGCCCAGAGGGCCCTCCCCCATGTCAGCTCTCCCTAGAGGTAATGAGGTAATGCTTCATCCAAATTTCTGACTCACGAGACAAAAAAATAGCGCCAAATGCAACAAGAAACAGAACAGTGCTCTATAATTTGTACTTGTTGAGCTTTTGTTTAGTCAGTTTTTGACAATCTCCATAAGCACCCAGATTGGACATGGGGTCATGGTGTAGGGAAGGAGCGCTGGCCTGGAAGTCAGCGCATCTGTGTTTTGACCCAGCTTTGTCACTCAGCACTGGAGCTTCCAGCTGGGCCATCCTTTGGCAGGTAGACAAGAAGTGAGACAAGTAATAGGGGAGATTAGGCAGAGCCGTGTTTAGTGAGTGCCACACACTCAGTGTGCCACACAATCACTGTACAATAAATACTTGGTAATTAAAGCAATAAAGAGTTTGAGAACGAATTGCCCAAACTAAGTAATTTGGCTTTCACTGTAGAGATAGCTTTGGGAAAATGTGTGCAAGGGAAGAACATAGTCAAATGCCACCTTGGAAGAATCCTTCTGCTACTCTGTAAAGGGGAAGCCGGAAGGAAGAGAGGCTGAGGGCAAGCCGAGCGATTAGAAAGGTGCTATCTACCCCTGCTTCTGGCAATGGCAGCTGGGTAATTGGGACTAATTGTCCCGATGACTGCAACTAAATCAGCTGGATGAAAGAGAGAAACAGATCATCATCTGACAGAGGTAAGGGCTAATGGGGCTAAGAGCTGGAAGACAAGAATCCAGAGGGGAGAGCACCGAGAGTCACTTCTGCCCCAAGGGCATTTATGGAATCTGGAAGAAAGAGTGAGCTGTGGTTTTAGGGGCATCATGGAGAACAGGGACAAAATTCAAAATTCAAGGCCTAAGCAAGTAGTATATTTGATAAGCTTTCTCGCCACTTTCAGCTGAGACCTTGAGCAGCTACCCCCTTTTTCACAATAGTAGTGACCCCGGAGTCACCGGCCCTTGCGTGGCTTTCCCATCTAGATATTCATTGCCTGGACGGTCCAAGGAATCTGAAGCTCTGCTCTTAAAGTGGCCTTGGACAGAGACTTTCCTCACACATTTGAAAATATCACAGCCAATGAAAATACTTTGTGCAGGAAGGTATTAATCATCTTCATCCCAGAGTCATTTATACAAGTAATTTTTTCAATAATATATCAGTAGAAAGTCAAACATAACTTCACATAAAATGGGAAATATACTGGAAATCCAGTAAAAAATAGAAAACAAAAATAAACCTACAAAAACTTCAGATATCAGAATTATGTGACATAGGCTACAGTAACTCTGGTTTATTGTATTCCACAAAATAAAAGACGAGCCTGGAAATATCTACAGGGAGTAGCAAATCGTAAAAAAGTGATGTAGCAAGTTTTTGAAAAAATTGAAGAATAGGTCTACAGCTGGAAACCCTACTAACAAAACTTAAGAATTTAGTGGTTGGGTTGAATAGAAGGCTGAACACAATAAAAAAGGAATTATTGACTTGGAATATGCATTAAAAGAAATTGTCCAGAGTTCTGCCTGGAGAAATAATTTACATGGCAAAAAATAAAGAGGGAGGATAAGAGACAATGAATAGAATAAGAGGGTCTGCCATACACTTTATTACAGCTCCAGAATAGGTAGAAAGAAAAGTGGGGAAGGAGATGATTGCTGGAAATTCAAATTTACCCATTCCAAACAACCTAGTGAACTGTGGGCAGACTATACTACATGAAATTTATTGCTAGAGCAACCTGACACTTAGGAGCCCTTCCCAGTTGTCATAATTGGAAGGCTATTGTCTTGTAAGTATGTGTCCTGCCCCTCATGGGCCACAGCAGAGGTAAATATTCCTCATGGGTGTGAAATGCTAGTGGCAGCTGAATTCTAAGGCTGGAGAAATGTGCTTATGTGTGGTTTTTACAAGAAAGCAGAATAAAAGGCCGTCTTCGTAGAAAAGTTTCTTTCTCCTTACCACCCCCTCAACTCTTCCTTCGTTTCTAAGGGAAAGTCTAGAAAGTGAACAATCCTAGGCTCGGGCTGTCTTGCTCTATACCTTCAGGCTTAGCAGTGTGTACTCACTCTCTTGCTGGGCTGTGCAGGGCTGGACTGAAATAAAATTCCTGCAGAGGTTTGCATTTGTAATAAACAAAGCTAAAATACAGTGGGCTGCGTTTTGAGAGAGTGCACTCTTTATTGGTTACTAGAATTGTTTATGTGAACACCAAACTTCTTGTTGGGGATGTGGTAGAGGGAATTCTGCTCAAAAGCAGAATTTGCAAGGGGAAGTTACATTAGAATTTCTGTTTGTCTCAAAATCATTTTTGCATTTATTTGACTTCAGGAGTATTCTTATGTGCCTCTAAGAACTCCTCCATGCCACAGAAAACCCTTCTCTAAGAGAAAGTATTGGGAAAGCAGGCAAGACTAACCTCAAGACAACCAGAATATTGTCTTACAGCGAAGATACAAACCTTCCTTTTGGCAGTGGGTATGTGGCCAGTGATTTTGACCAGGTCTCACAAAGGGAGGGGATGCTGGAGCTTTGGTTCTATATGCCCACATTTTTTCTGCACATCCAAGCCTATGTAAACCTTTCCTTTAGTTGTTTTAGGGTCTTCCCGCCCTTACTACGAAAGGGAAGGAGCAGGAGCAGGGAGAATGCTCTACTGATGCTCAGGTTTTGGCTATGACTCCAGGGACAGGCTGTAACATACTGCAGGAAAAGGGCATTTGACTATAAACCCAAACGTCAAGATTGGAGGGCCATCACCTAACCATATGTCAGCCTCTGAATCTCAGCTCTCTCATCCGAATAAGGGGGGGGATAGTAGCACCTACTTGCTAATGGAACAATCTCACAGAAGGAAATCCTTATCCTTTCCAGCTTCCTAGTACTGGGGTCTTCACTCAACTGGACTTGTCAGGTTTCTAGTTACCTCCATCTGGAATGGCTGCAGTTACTACCACATCTATCCACCAGGGGGCCTCAGCTCTCCTGATCTAACTGTGGGATGGACCTTGCTGTTTAATTGTTTTCCTAAATCCAGGCAAGGCAGGCTGATATTTATGCAAAGAACCTTCTCGAAAGCTCAGTGAAAGGGTTTTGGTGGTGGTGGGGATAAACACAGGGAGAACAGATGGACAGATCGAT